ATTGCCGGACGGCGGCCCCAATGTACCAGACCCTGTATGAGTACTACTACGTGAGTATCTATTCTATTGTTCTGAACCTTTTGGGCTCGAATCTGATTAATGACAGACCTCGAATCCTTTATTCCTCTCCGGGCTGAAGCCCGATGCGCTCTCCTCTCTGGACTCCTTCACCGGCTACTACAATCTCCATTTCGGATCCATAAACTGCCAGGCCTTCGCCGATTTCTGCAAGAAGCTGAAGGTCGCATATTACCCCGCGTGGGCATTCTATGATATGGGCGTTCAGAGCGCACCCCCAGCTGGTGCCAAAACGATGTCAGAGATTGGCGCTATGATTGAAACCAAGCTCGAGACGCTCAAGCCTGGGTCTAGACCTTCACAAGGCGTTCAAGTCCCAAAGGCCGGCGCCAAGAGCATGGAAATGACTGCTAAGCCCGAAGTCGTAAACCCTTATGCGAAAACAGCTGTCGAGAAGCAGAGCATCGAGACTGCAGAGTTGGAAGGCGTTAGCCCTGAGTCTGTCAAAGCCAAGCTCCAAGGACGGCCTGCTAATCCCCAAGGCGTTTCTATCCCACTCACTGCGGAGAGTTTCCAAAGCCTTGTTACCACTACCCATGATCCTTGGATCATCAAGTTCTACGTTCCTTGGTGCCATCATTGCCAAGCTCTGGCCCCGAACTGGAACTCGATGGCCAAGGAGATGAAGGATACTCTCAATGTTGGCGAAGTGAACTGCGAACTTGAGAAGCGGCTGTGCGAAGATGCCCGCGTGAATGCCTACCCGACGATCTACTTCTTCCGTGGTGGCGAAAGAGTCGAATATACTGGTCTTCGTGGCTTGGGAGATCTGATCTCATATACCAACAAAGCCGTCGGTGTGGGCTCAAGCATTCAGGATGTTGACGCCGCTACTTTTAAGAAGTTGGAAGAAACCGAAGAGGTTTTGTTCCTGTATCTCTACGACCACGCGACGACATCTGAAGATTTTGAGGCCATGAATCGCCTCACCCTCAGTCTTGTGGGACACGCTCGCATCGTCAAGAGTAATAGCGCTCCTCTTTCCGAGCGGTTTAAGATCTCTACCTGGCCTCGTCTTCTGGTCGTTCGTGACGGACGTCCTAACTACTACAATGCCCTTGCTCCTAAGGACATGAGAGATTTCCGTCAAATCCTATCGTGGATGCAGACTGTGTGGCTGCCGATCGTACCTGAACTCACCGCATCCAATGCCCAAGAAATCATGGACGGAAAGTTCGTGGTTCTGGGACTCCTTAGCCGCCGCCGTAGCGATGACTTCAAGCAGTCCAAGCGCGAGCTGAAGGAAGCTGCCCTTGAATGGATGGACAAGCAGATTCAACTGTTCCGCCTTGAGCGAGCTGAACTTCGTGATTCTAAGCAACTGCGCATCGAAGAAGCCGATGATCGCAATGATCAGCGTGCACTGCGGGCTGCTAAGAACATGCGTATTACGATCCGCGAGGACGACAAGAAGCAAGTCGCATTCGCTTGGGTCGATGGTGACTTTTGGGAGCGCTGGCTGCGCACAACCTACGGCATCGATGTGGAAAATAGTGACCGCGTTATTATCAATGATCAAGATGTAAGTCACCCCTCATTAGATTTGTCCGAGACTACAACTGACTTACTATAGAACCGCCGGTACTGGGATACTGCTTCCAGCGGAGCTCCTATTATGGCTTCGCGGACCTCCATTCTCGAGACCATTCCTCTCGTCATCGCTTCCCCTTCGAAGTTGTCACCCAAATCTACCATTGGCACCTTTGAGTCTATCTTCTTCTTCACTCGATCTCTCCTCGGCAGCCATCCTATCCTTTTCTTCATCATCTTGGGTGCCGTGATCGCTGTGGCCGCCACCTTCGGACGTGGACGCCTTAGGCGTAGTGCTGCACGCGGCGGTATTATTGGCAACTCCAACAGCAACAGTGGTGGCTTCTTCCACCTGGACGGCAAGGAGAGTTTCCTGAATGGAAACTCGACCGACAAAGTCGACTAATGAGACAAATGTACAGTTAGGGTGTTTGGCTACGCGGTTCTTATAATATTTTGTTTCCACTGTATTTGATTGATGCTGCTTTCCTCTCATGCGTCTGTTCGATCAACCCTGTCTCAATTGAATTTTTTTTTGCATGTCGGACCGAGGGGTTTTGAGCACATATCTTCTTATTCCATTTTTTTTTCAGTCATCATACGAAGTCTTGGATTCTAGACGTATCAGGTTCTCGAAAGCCGACAAGGCTTCCTTGTATTAACTCTTTACCCGCATCATTATCTTTTTATTTCTCTGGTTGACATGTAGTTGCGGACGTCGAGTGCCTCTCCTCCCCGAGATCAGAACCTTCCGGTGTCGTTCTTTCCTAATCTGCGTCTCTCCGCGTAAACAGATAGCCTAATGAAGCAATTGAAATCATTTTCTGGAAGGTGCGTGTCCCCACCTGCATGTATTAACCCCCCCTCGTTCCCCTTCAAATTCGTATCCAATCCCCGATATATTTGCTCGATTTTGGCATCTTGTTTTGTTCACGAGTGCAACTTGATATAAGATATAACGCATCTGTTTACAAACGACGTATGCATCACAGGCACCTTTTTTATGTACATGATATATTAGAAGAAAAATGAATAAGTTGAATGCTAGACTTTCTCTAATAAATATCCTATTTCATCATGAACTTGATATAAACTCATACTTGAACGAAAACAATTACGACTCCTCTGATTGGCCATTGAGTATGAAGTCACGTGCCAAACTCGGGCACTCCCGGTTTTCGTCGACCACCAAGCGCCAGCTCCTGTCTCCTAGCAATTGTCCCACCAAATCACTCCGGTGTCATTCAAAATGGTAAGTGATTTCATACACTGCAGATGAGGAAACCTCGTGTTCTGTTCCGAAGTCCATAACCCACTCCGCCACGCTCCGGGCAGAGGACGATCCGATCGGGCCATGAGTATCACGACTGGCTTCCGAGCTGTGGGATGAGAGGAGGTTGAAAATAGCACATTAATTGCTAACACATATTCTATAGTTCGCCTCTACTGCTCGCCGCGCCGCGGCCCAGGCCTCCGCTTATGCGCCCAAGTGAGACTCCCCCATATTCTCTCCCCTCGAACCCCGGACAGTACACGTTGGTCGGTAATTGGCATGTTGGATGGAGCAAACAAAGCATGGATTTGCACATGCCAATGCAGCTTGTCTAATTGACTGGATGCCCGTTTGTTCTCTCTCATGGCGGAGCTTGACGGGTGTGTGTCTGACATCTGTGGGGAGCGGGCATTACAAGACTTGTGTGCTTTGGCAAAAGAACTGGATATTGAAGGAAGAAAGCAGATCAAAGAAGCAAAGAGAGCACTAAGCTAACGCCTCACTAATCTGAAGGTACACCATCCCCCGCACCGCCGGCGGTATGACCCTTGGCACAGCCATCCAGGCGTGAGTACATCCCGCATTCTACTCTCCTATGTTGGACAAAATACAGTGTCTAACTGCGCTGTAAACAGTGGTACCCTCGCTGCCAGCTTCGGTGTCGCCATTGGTTCCGGTGCCCTCTTCATCTTCGGCGAGGTTCCCCGTGTGCGCAACGACATCCTCCGCAAGCTTCCTTTCCTCGATACCTACTACGACCGCACCATCGCCCCCGAGGACAACGTGAGTCAATTACAGTTGATTTGGAGGCTTGGATTCGATGCTGACTTTATTATAGCCCTTCTAAATTATTCGCCAGGGTATATACCTGTCTTCCTTCTTGACCGATATGAATTGGTACTTTCGGGCGGCAGGCTGAGGCTGGACTGTGTAGAATAGCGATGAAAGTCTTTTCTGTTTTTAATACCACATAGAAACAGTTGTTTCAAAGTAAATATGTATTTCATATGGTCCGTATGTGTCATTGTACACTATCGATGCGCTCCCTTCCCTTGAATCATAAAGCAGAGAAACCTAGACCTCTTCGGAACTCTAGGACTCTTATATACCTCGGAGATCCGGAGGTTTTATGGGATGGTTTCCGAGCTAGCCAAGGGAGTATCCCGAGGCCACTATAGATAGTACTTGTCATGGTGGACTCGACATTGATGACATACCAATGACATACATATATTGTGCAACAAACCTTGAACAGGAGTTATCCAGCACTGAATCTAAAGCCTCTTTCCCCAACAAGGCAGGTCCATCCTTAGATAACAAGTCCTAAAGGATAATAGCAGCCCTAGGGGGTTTCAGAAAGCCGAGTAGACACCTAATCAGCACGATTGACACAAGTCCAGCCCTTATCTCTGTTATCACGATGATAACTACATGTGCATGGACTACAAGTACCACGCTAACCTTCTCTTAGGACCGAAATCCCGTGAGATATTACGCCTAGAGCTTCCTTGCTGGGACTGGATTCCTCTCTGCCAAGCTCATAGCACCGATCGCCGAAGCCCTGTGCCTCGAATGAGCGGTGGTATCTCCCGTCTCTGCAAATCACAATCTTGCGGAGTAATGCTGTTCGCATGCTCGAATAAGATATCTATTTATTCTGCAGATTATATCTTTTTTAATTTATCAACACTCATGTCATTTGCTCTTATCGCTCCTCTTCGTACGGAGTACATTGGGAAGAGAGCCCGGTTCCCATGAGGCGTTTCCCCTCACATATCTACCAGTTTTCGTTGCGCAACTGTGTCTAGTCGTCCGATATCTATTATTCCCAGTTCGGACTGGCTCTATCCTGGCTCGTTTAGAAACACATGTCTAGTTGGTTCTTGCGATCGCCAGTGCGCGGGGCTGAAGCCAAAATGCCCCGTGCTATGCCATAGATAACATAACATCATGCTACCCCCTGTCGGCCTAACTCTGGGCTATTTTATTACACTCCAGCTTCCCTTGGCTGTTGTTTAAAGGTGAAAACATTTTTATTTACCCCTTGCATGGTTGTCATTTGATTTCGTCGAGATATATATCGCATACATTAATACCGGCACGCCTGTTTATTTTGGTCATGGGCGCAAGCATGGAGACCAAAACTGCTGGTTCGGACATATCCAAAGGGCATCAGAAACTTGACAATGCACTCGTGACTTCTGTGCTCCCAGATGGCGATGTGCCCTATACAGATCATGATATGGATGCTGATGAGAGGGTGATCACGGCGCTGGGTTACAAGCAAGAGTTCAAGCGCGAGTTCTCGCTATGGACGACTTTCTGCCTCAGTTTTGCTGTGCTGGGTCTGCTGCCGTCGTTTGCGAGTACCCTGTATTATGGTGAGTACTCACAGATCCGTAATTGTAAGATTGGGGTTAAGGTGGAGCTGACATTGGATTAAAGGAATGGGATATGCCGGAACAGCGGGTATGGTCTGGGGCTGGCTCATTGCGATGATATTTATCCAGTGCATTGCAATGTCAATGGCAGAGCTATGTTCAGCAATGCCGACTAGGTATGAAAGCACTGCCCGATACCACATCCGAGAAGTTTGAGGGAAAGCTAATATTTTATACAGCGGTGGACTATACTACGCTGCAGCAGTCCTTGCACCCCCGGGCTATGGACCCTTCGCCGCCTGGATCACGGGCTGGTCCAACTGGATCGGACAGATAACCGCAGCGCCATCGGTAGACTACTCGCTCAGTGCAATGATCCTCGCAGCAGTATCAATCCACAATCCAGACTACGTTCCAACAACATGGCAGACCTTCCTGCTGACAACACTAATAATGATCCTGCACGCTGGAATCAGTAGCATGCCCACCAAGCGCGTAGCGCAGATCAACTCATGGGGCTCAACATTCAACTTCATCGCACTGATCGCAGTGCTCATCATAATCCCTGCCAATACAACAAACAGCCCGAAATTCACCCCCTCCAAACAAGTCTGGGGCGACATTACAAACCTAACTGACTTCCCCGACGGCGTCGCTGTGCTCATGACTTTCGTCGGCGTGATCTGGACGATGTCCGGCTACGACTCGCCCTTCCATCTGAGCGAGGAGTGCTCGAACGCGAACATTGCCTCACCGCGCGCAATCGTGCTCACCTCCGGCGTGGGCGGGCTGATGGGCTGGTTCCTACAGCTGGTCGTTGCATACACGGTGCTGGATATCGAGGCCGTTATCGATTCCGATCTGGGACAGCCCTGGGCGTCGTATTTGCTGCAGGTCGTGCCGAAGAAGACCACTACGGCTATCTTGGCTTTGACGATTGTCTGTGGGTTCTCCATGGGTCAGGGGTGTATGGTTGCTGCGTCGCGGGTTACGTATGCCTATGCGCGTGACGACTGCTTTCCGTTCTCGAATTACTGGAAACAGGTGCATCCGTATACGCAGACACCAGTTAATGCGGTTGTGCTGAATGCCGTCCTCGGCATCTTGATGTGCCTTCTTATTCTGGCTGGGGATGTGGCGATTGGTGCTCTGTTCTCTATTGGTGGTATTGCGCAGTTCTTTGCCTTTATCATTCCTATCACTATTCGGGTGTTCTTTGTCGGTAATCGGTTCCGCAGGGGCCCCTGGCATCTGGGTCCGTTTGGCCCGTATATCGGTGCCGTTGGTGTTGTATTTGTGCTTTTGATGGTCCCGATCTTGTGTTTGCCTAGTGTTACTGGTGCCAACTTGACGGTCGATGACATGAATTGGACTTGCCTTGTTTGGGGTGCGCCGATGGTGGCGGTCTCGATTTGGTGGGTTGTTGATGCGCATCGCTGGTTCAAAGGTCCTGTCGTCAATGTCGAGCATGCTATTCATGCGATTGTGCAGGACCCGATCGTCAGTGAGGGCATCGAGCCTGAGCTTCGAGAGACCGAGGTGACTGCTCTCTCCCGCAAGGCGGATCATCCAGATAAACCCATCTAGATATCCCAGACTGTGGAGCAGTCATTGCATGAGTTTGGGATTTAAGATTTGATATTCATGTTGGTACTACATAATCTAATATTATACAAGAGGATCACAACCCCCTCTTGGAGACCTGTCGCACGTTATTACATTTCTAAATTATTATTTTGTGCGTCTTTCTTTGATAACTATCTTCAATCTCCTAAATGGGAGAAAATAGAGACGACCAACCAAAGAACCTTGGAATCTTGCGATCCAATGTATGCAAGATGAAAATATCTTCCATCTCCCCACAGAGACTTCTATCTGTAAATAGTAGTGATTAGGAGTAGATGAATCCATAGATAAGAATGTAAGCATTCGCCACCTGCATGTCAGAAAGCACAACATAGATCTGGCTCCATAAATATGGATCGATCTGACACAGAGTCATATGGAGCCTTCAGCCTTCTGGACCCAGTGCCCCTCCTAGCCCGATTTAGGGATGTGATGGCCATGTGGTTGATGATGGAGAAAATGGAGTAAACCCACCGCTCCACCAGTTCCATATGGCTAAGCTAAGGTTGACTGTGTGGGATCGGTAAGCCCTTCTACTGGGGATGAAAACGATTGGAGATTTTATACATGTATTCTATCAAAGGGGCTGAAGAATACCTGGTACTCTTGCATATATGCAAATGCATTAGGGTTAATGATGGGTATAGAGCACATCGTATTTCACCACAGATATGATTTATGGTCATTTGTATTCAATAAAAAAGCAAGAGTTCAGGTAGTATGCAGGAAATATACACCGCAGAACAACCCATGTAAATTGCTGATCGTCGCACTTCGTACAAGGTACCTTCACGCGAAGGGAGAACCTACACCATTTGCCTTTTAAAGAAAGTACCAAACAAGCCAGTCAATATCTAAACCCTAGGAGCAAGCCCAAGTACAAAGGTCAGTTGTTTAAAACCCAACTCAATCCCCCAAAAGTACAAAAACTGAGCAAGCACCTCCTTCCACGGCTAAAGTACTTTGTACAACTTGTCTTGCGCTGGGATCCCCGGGAAGAATCCTGTAAGCTCCACCACCCACCCCTGAGACCCCACCGGCGGTGGTGGACACTGAACATGGATGCAAGAAAAACAAAAAAATGGATTGGAACAGAGATATGCTTAATCTGACTCCAGAGGGTGAACCCACCCCAACACGAGCCTAACAATAGGCCCACTTGTATACTACTATTTTGACAATTTCTTGGATTCTCCATATGAACTTCTATAACTAACTAGTTAACTAGTTAGTGTCTAATAATTAACCTTATTATCAACTAGAGTAGGTTATGGTATATCATTTTGTTGAAAGTCAAAATCTTCTCAAATGAAAAACCCCAAAACGTCTCCAACCACAAGAAGCGGGACAAGAATGCGAAAAGTTAGAACAAAAAACGTGTTTAGGGGGCCCCCTTGTTGTACAGCCCTTGTCCACGCCCGCTCCCGTCCGGATTGCACGCAGTCCCGATCGTCACTGTCAGGGGTTGAATTCAAAGAGATCCAGGAACAGTCTCAGATCGGCAATTGGTATCTACGTCATGAATCTCTTAAACTTCAGGATTAGAGTACATATGTATTTCTCTATATATTGTTAGATTTGTACAATGTGGTATTTCTAAAGTTCCTGAATTGGACCGTTTGGAATTCCTCTTTTGGGTTCTGGGTTTGACAGATCTGGCGGTCTGAACCATGGATTACCTTGGATTACCAAGTATTAAAAGAGAGAGGCTGCCAAGTGGCTGTTTTGGGATCGGGGGTGAGCCGAGTCTACCGCCGTATTGTATGTTACATTTTGCCTTTTTTCCATTGCGAACTAGTATATTAATATGTTTTTTTTTTTGATGCTTCGGTCCGATGGGCTGCATTTTAGGGCGCTTTCAATTTATGCAAGTTCTAATAAAATGGTCGGGTTTGTTCAAGCATTCCTGAAGGTTACACTGCAAAATAGATGTTTCGTCCCATGGTCTGATAGAAGAATCCAATATTACTTTGAAGAACCTTGGAAGTATGGACTTGCCTTCTTAAGAAGAATATGGTAGCGAGGTATTAGATATTAATAGGAGGCGAATCATATATCTATGCGTTGCCATGCTAAAATCGACTTATATCCGAAACCCGTGACGCGGCCAGGGGAGAAATTGGAGAAATTCCGGTACACGTTGCATCCTGATTCTGACAATTACATAGAACAATAAAGAATGGAAGAGATATTTCCTACTTTGTAAGCTATCAAGAGCCCCCCCCGTAACCCCCATAAAAACCATGTTATACAGAATGGATTCCGATCCACAGAACACATGGGAGAATGGAGAAAGATGGAGAATTGAAAGAATGGGACTGTAACCACTATTTTTGACAGATACACTCAAAAGTCAATTTCAAAGTCATCATAACCTACCTTTTTGAATTGCAATACCAAAATCTCACTTTTAAAAATAATAAAAAAATGCAAGTCAGATCCCCCGAGGACCTTGGTGAAAAAAAAAAATTACGCTACTCCTATCTGGGCTTCGACTACAGACACTGGCAACCTATGAGGTCGGTGGCGGCACGATCCTCTCGTCCGCTGGAGTAGATGGTGATCTTTGATTGGTTGGATAGATTCCTGAAACTTGGTGATCCGGACTTGGCTTTAACAGTGTTTTCCGGCCTGTGCCGGGGAAACAAGACTAGCCTTTTTTATGTGTACATATCGGATGTTGACGATCGGATAGGAGCGCTCTCGGATGTGTGTATAAATCATGTCGACCACGTCAACTACGTTAGCCACGTATGTTGTAGTTGGCTTTCACCCTATATTTTCTGTTTTCAAAAAAAAGATGGCTGAACTTTTATAATATATAAACTCTATAACGTATATCCCGCCACGTGATATCCTATTCGGCAGCGATGGGGACTGGGGCGGGATCTACGTCTCGCGCGCGCTATTCTCTCCTATCCCGGTTGATACCTACTGCCAGTACCTTAAGCATCCGGGAAATTTAGCCCTAATGGCGGCCCCATTTCTGTCGGTAGTGGGTATGTTGCACTATTATTCGAATGCGGTCAAGCTCTTCACCCACAGGGAAAAAAAAAAAAAACCAAAACTTAAGTGATCCCAGATTTATTTGTACAAACTATATGTAGTCAAACACGAGAACAATCCCTAGGTCTCAATAACGAAATAGGAAAATATTAGTAACAAATTTGATATGACAGCCCCCCTAATCGGATTTAACTCAGGAAAAGCCTCACCGTACTTTGCGAACCGTTTCGGGGAGTGCGGTGGAGTCCGTTAACTCCCGGCATTGATGCCGAGTGTATTTTGCAAAACAAAAGTAGAAAAAGCCACCTGCCACTTCAATACACCGCGTTTGATAGTTATCAAGCCACCAAGAACTAATTCTTTTCCCGAGATTGAATATATCCTTTTAGGCAACACAAAGAGATATAGTAGTCTGTACGGAGTACAATATCTGCACTTAATTAGGCACACCCTGTTACTATGTTCCAACCCTACAGAGTATATTGCGATACTCCAGTGGCTGTACCTGTCGTACACATACACATACACATACCGAGGTGAAACAAAGTGGAAGGTCAGGCGAGCTTCCTTTTATGTCGTAGCTTATAATTACATATGTATTCTCATCCCTTGGCGGAATCTGCATTCATAAAGCAATAGTAATAATAAAAATGAGTACGGAGTACTCCGTACGGGGGTATAACAATAATAGCTCAAATGTAATATAGTGCCAAAAAAAAAAAAGTTCAGATCAGGTGGTCAGCTCAATATTTCTGCAGAACCCTGGTCGAAGCCTCCCAGGTCCACAATCGAAGCGGGAGAAGCTCTTGCGAAGGGGTGGAGAAGGAGGGGCAGGGATGTTCCGGAATACAGATCCTCTCCGGCATATTGTACGGAGTCAAACAATTTACAGATATGGGGCTTATGTTTTAGTTTATTATAGTAGAGAGTTTATCGTGATATCGTGATATTGTGTTGAGTATGAAGTATATAGCCCGAGGTCCAAGTTTCAATGTGATGAACCACGTAGGTCACACGGAACTCGAATGGCGCGCAGGATCTGAAACTTTAGGTCCTAAGTTACTCGGTCGAGATCTCGGCTTAATAATAGAATAAGAAATCTGAGCAAAAGTACGCGAACCGCAGCCTACATGTACCTATGTCAGGCCACGGAGGTAGCCACGTCCAATAAGGGGAACCCCCTGAATGCCAATTTTGTCTAGAGCATTCCTGTGTGGCTGAACCCAGGAGAAACACCCACCTCTCTCTCTATATATATTACATATTATTTCTCTATATTGAAGTCACCTAGGCAGCAATAGTATTAGTGTCCCAGTGAAATAATTAAACTTATACCATATATTAATAGCAATACACTTAGTCTTGTTTTTACGGTATAGATCAGGTCAAGTTTCGGTTCGAGTCCGTGAAGGTAGGTGCGGAAACCAAGTGCGGAACAGTAGGCGGCTACGGCGCATCCACTAAAGTAGGGCAACACTGCATGGCCGTTACAGAAGCCTCCGGTCGGACATCCCCCCCAGTCTTCCCTCCCGAACAAGAGGTCTGACAATGCATGCCCCCTCTTCTGGATATGTGCTATGTACATCCGGGCTGCATGCAGGATCCAAATCTATCCCTGTACGCTGAGTGAGTTGGGATGCATGATGAGGTCTTCTATGGTCAAGCTCAATGAAGCTCCCGAGGTCATCTTTCCTCGGGCCTCCCCCCGGGCCTCCCGGGACTCCCCCCTCCCAAGATGACGTGCTTCAAGAGATCAGTGCAGAGTGGGAGCATCCTATGTGGGCTGAGATCTTATCTATCTACAATCAATAAAATTATCCTATAGTACGGAGTCATTCAAAGGTACATAAGGGGGTAGCCGAGGAATGGGTTGAAATACATATCAGATCTCAGCTCCATGTCACACTTGCGGGGCTGTCAGCCACTGCGGAGCCCAAAACAAAGAAGTGCCAGGGTCACCCATAACCCACCTTCGGGGACGGGGGAGAAGGCTCCATCTCCAATTATAAGATCTACTTCAATATCAGATACTACTTTGTACAACGGCATGGTAGTTTCAGTGGTCACTGCCCAATAGCAGTCTGGTACCCGCCGTGATCGGAGATATCCAAGAATTGGGCCCTGATTACAGTAGTACAAAGTAATAAGGTCTTATGTTTTGTTTCTATACGTTACTACAGAGTATACATGATATGTCCTGGGGAATAATCAGATTACATATGATATATATCAGATATATTTGGTATAGGAGCACATCATATATTGTTTTTACTATGGTTTCGGAGCTTTATTATCATCCGTCCACGGGTGCCTAGGTAGGATATACCTTGGGTGCGTCATCATGTCCGGACGCGTAGGGAGAGAAATCCTTGAGATTAGACTATGGTGACTATGTGTCCATACATATATCCAATCGAATATTTACATTCACCCCTTTTTTTTTTGGTATTTCTTTTCTATATATTCAATTCAAATCAATGCAAATGTAAGTAAAATGTACAATGTAAATCTAAGTAAAATCTAATTCCAATAATCCCAACAATCCTAATACGTCGTTGCTACCGCTATCGGCCATAGTTCGGAAGACGGCCGTGTAAAATTTGTAACATGTGAATTGAAAATACAGTAATTACCTGTCTTTTTTATTTTTCAATTTTTTTTTTTCTTCTTCGCCTCTTGCCTCCCCGAGGAACGATCGTCTTTTTTCGTCTTTTCAGTCTTTTTTCAGTCTTTTTTCAGTCTTTTTCTATTTTTTTTTTATTTCGAACCGGTCTTCCTTAGAATTTTCCTTTTCGTCTTTACCAAGAAACTTATCCCCCATTTTCTTCCTCTTCTCCCCCCCCAATTTCCCCCAATTCTCAATCTTCCATCCAATTCCCTAAACTTCAATTTCTTCATTTCATTTGAAATATTTCCTCTCTATCGGCTATTTTCCGAGTCAATTCCTCGATCTCAAGGATTATCTTGACGCGAAGCAGATCTCGGACTAGTTGTTTTTGCTGCGAGAGACCCACTTGCACGCCCGCTTCTTCGGTGGATACAGAACCATCGACGGTGACAACGTGCGGATAAATCACCATCCTATTTTTTTCTTCTGGTGGGTGACCGTGGGGAATCTTCTTCAATTAAGCATCTCTTTCTTTCTCTCTTCTCTCGTTCGTGTGGAGTCAACTTGTGTGAACCCGTGAGCCCGTGAGACCCTGTGACCGTTTGCCTATCTCTTTCTGCTCGCAGGAAAATTTTCAAACAAGGAGCTTCCTTTGCTTCAAAGAAAAAAAAAATTTATCCAGAGTGCAGGTTTGATGATTGAGTTACCGTGAACAACTTTCTTCTTTTTCCTACACGATCTCTCCTCTGTCCACAATGGATCCCAGATCTCACCCTTCCCGTCCTCCATCCACCAGCCTGCCTCCAGGCTCCACGCCCATGTCTTCGACTCCCATCTCGAGCATGCATATGCCACAATACTCGATGCAGCCGCAGTATCCGGTTTCGCAGCCGCATACTCTGCCCCCGTTGCAGCCTCACCACCCTCAGTCGCCCGCGCCTCACCATTACATGGGACAGCCTTACCGTCCGGACTTGTCGCGGTACCCCCCGTCAACTCACGATGTCTACGGGGCTTCCCAGGCCCCTATGATGCCGCACACGACTGTCGGTAGCCTTCCGCCATCGTCTCTGTTGAACCTTCCTAACCCTCAAACACAGGCGCATCAGCAGTACCCCCCACCTCCGAGTGTTCTTCCGCCCGCATCCACCACTCAGAGCTATCCTCAGCCGATTGCTCCGGCACCCCCCGCGACCGTCGCCCTGATTTCAATGGTCTTCCCTCCGGTGCCTTTAGTTACTCCGATGGCAAGGGTTGGGGTATGACTCCTGATGTGAATGGCGCGAACGGCTCCCCCTACGCCAAGGAACCGCCACGGACGCAGGTTGTGGGCTCTCAGGGCCGCCGTGGAATTTTGCCCAGTGTCCCGGGCCGCGCGACTCCGGTTACCAACGGTGTCAACGGTACAGCTAAGAGCACGACTATTCCTGCTAAGGATGCGGATGGAAAATTCCCCTGCCCGCACTGTAACAAGACTTACCTCCACGCCAAGCACCTCAAGCGCCATCTGTTGAGACGTGAGTTTTGGAAACCAGACCGAAGGAAAAAACATAAAATTTTCCTAGAAATGATGAGATTTGCTAACGTATAATTTTTTTCCTTCTGATTTTTATAGACACCGGTGACCGTCCCTACATGTGTGTTTTGTGCAAGGATACGTTCTCCCGCAGTGATATCTTGAAGCGTCACTTCCAAAAGTGCTCAATCCGACGGGGTAACCCGACCGGTGCGACCCACTTGTCCCATCCCCAGGCCCATCTGAAGCGGTCTCAGCAGCAAGCAGCTGCAGCTGCCGCGGCCAACCCCCCAAAGCCTCTCCAGGATGAAGTCAGTAATCCCGTCCCTCACTCTAATGGCGTTATGGGTACGCAATTCGATGGGGCCGTGAATGGCAATGGAATGGCCACAGGCCGTCCTGGCTACACGGAGCAACAGCCGCTAGGCTTCACGATGCAGTCTGTCAATGGCATGAACCGTGGTCCTGGTGACGACGCGTTCTCCGCTGGCCAGGCGCACGCGAGAGCCTCGTGGATGGCTGCACCCAAGCAGAATCCGTATCTCATGCAGCCTGGTGTCGATGCCCATGGCCAGCAGCTGACGGGTGATCGTCCTCTTGAACAGGTAAAGCCCCCGATCTATCATGACCACAAACCGGTCATGCCCGGTCCCCATTCACATCACCCGGGTGTTGACTGGAATTCGATGTTTCAGCACGGTTCTTCCGACGGTTACATTAACCCCGTTTTCCCTCACTCCATGGCCGCGGGCCAGGAGCCGATTCACGCTCCCGTCGACCACGACCGCAAGTTCTACCCCGCCTCGACCGGTCCTGAGAGCGGTATGAACGGACTGTACCTCGCTTCGACTACGATGAGTGGAGATGGTTAGTTCCTACCTTCTCTTACCTTTTCTTACCTTTTTCTCTCTTTTGCTTATTATGGCATGGAATTGTTCTGACAATACATCTGCAGGTACTGTGCAGCCCGCGAGACAGTAGATGGTGAATTCGATCGGAAAGCAAGATGATGACTACGATGCATGAGATTGAAAAAGCGTTTTTGACGAAGCAAGGAACCATACAAGGTTTTTCTTCTTCACGCCGTGGGTAGGACTATTGCTCTCCAACCCTCTCTTCTATTGTTTCTAGGCCTTCGTCCTTGGCTTCTCTGCTGGTACAAATCCACTAGTCACAATGTCTCAGCAAACCCGTTTACGATTAGTCCTTTGATCCGTTCGCTTCTGGCTCTTAAGCTTGCGGCGTTTCGTGCTCCTAGCGTCCCCGTTCTGGTTTTGCTTTTAGTATCGTTTGTCCTCGATCTTTTTCTTTTATATTCTGATCCCATCCGGTGTGGGTGTGCATTCTTACACAAGTGGTTTGCGAATCTGGTTATATTTTATCTTGAACCCCCGATGAGAGGGGCAGATGGTATGGTGGGTGGTTTGTTCGGCGTCCACAACATAGACATGGGCATGTATTCATCTTTTGCGCGAGTGTTCGACATCAGAAAGAAGAAAAGCTTTTTTTTTTATATTATCTTTTATGGGATGGTTGTTGTCGAATTTCTACATTTCTTTTCATTCTTGCAGTTCATTTTGTTTTCACCATGTGCTTTTATCTTCTTTCCTTTCTCGTCTTTTTCTGCATCGCATCGCCTCTTTTCTCGTGTAAAGTCGGCATGGCAGGACATATGTGTGCTTCGGGAATTTCTTGAGGTGTGATTTTAAGGTGTTTTATTCGGGTTTACTAGAAAAGCAGCTAGAAATAGACTTACGATCCATTCGATTTACCTGCAAGTAAGTATCTGGGGAAACCCGGGGGAACCCTCGGGGAAGAATATCAAAGGTACTACTAGTGTACTACTAGTATCAGCTGATTTATACTATTGTAAGATGTACATCGATGTAGCGGAGTAATGGAGTAGCGGAGAAATGGATATAAAGACCGGGAACTCCCTACGTAACGTCATGCCCATAATCCAGCGCCCGTGATTGGAGCGCCTACAGAGATCGGGAAATCTCGTTGAAATCAGCCATCTCACACTTCTCTTCATTTCTACATATTTACTTCTATTCTATACAGTTTATACAGCAGATGAACACTCTGTCTCACCATGTCTAGCAACCGTCCATTCCTCGCCAACTTCCTGGCCGCCTTCCGCGCCCAGTCGACTTACAAAACCACCACCCAGCAAGTTGGCACAACTTCAACCATCTCCTCCGCCCAAATCTCCCAGAGCGCTCGCGCCATCGCTACAAAAGCCGCCAACACTGCGCAAGGCTCCTCAGCACCATCATCCGCTTCCGCCACAGCTCACCACTCTCATCATAATCACAACCACCATAACCACCACACCCACACATCCTCTCCCACCTCAGCAAGTACAGCACCAGCTGGCCCAGTCCAAGGACCAAACCCAGCTCCTTCACACCACTACCACCACGACCAATCATCCCTCGCCTCCACACCACCATCATCAACCTCAACACCCATCCCAATCAACCGTGGCACCGCAGACCGCCAGCGTCGTGGGAGTGACTCATCCAGTGGTTCGGGCGGATTCCGCGATGCCATCGGTCCTGAGAAGTGGTATATTGGTGGGAGAACGCCAGCTGGCGAAGAGCGCTTTTATCGGCTCGGGATGGTTACGAAGGGTGGGGGGCGGCTTGGCGGGAGCGGGCGGGTGGGGAGTATTGATCAGTTGAGTCTTTGAGACACGATGTGGGGGGAATGGGGGTCCCAGGAGGGGTTTATGGAGTTTGATTTGGTTTTTGGTCTGGTCTTGGGTTTTGTTCAGTTTTGGATTGACGATGGCCCTGGCTCGGATGTCTGTGGCTATTATCCTGGGACTGCAATCGGATGCTTGATCAGATTGATTACTGGCCCTGCTCAATCACGAGGTCTATGCGGGTTTCTTTTCTTTTTGGCCTTTTCTCGCCCGTGGCCTATTATCTGGTGCGGCATTACTAGGCGTCCTGGAACGGTGTTCTTCTGCGATTCTTGTCTTTCCCCCCTATTTCGTTTCTTCCCTGGGTTCTCTGATATCTGTCTAGGTCTGGAATCTGGACTTGGGGGAAAGATATCAGGCTCCAACTGGGGATCTTGGTTTCTTGCTGGTTCAAAAGGAGCCCAAAAAAGACATACATCTTACACTATTCTACATGAGTTATGATCTGCGTGGGGATGAGGGTTTGTTTAGTCTCTAGTTTGGCTTTTCTCTCTCCTCTCTTTTCGTTCTCTCTATCTTGGATACTTGTTGGTCAAAAACATGACTTTTTGATATCAACATCACTATTATCAATATCATACTTGGGATCGATATTTTCCTATAGAATACATGCATATGCACAAATAAGGTATTGACCCCTGCCAAGTAAAAGATGAGTTTCTGTATAGTCTATCTGTGCAGCTAGCTACATAGCCCCCTCACACTACCTGCTGCGTAACACAATGCAGCACACCCCCAGTCCTAGGCAAGGCATTAACCTCAACCTGACGAACCTCCCTCTCAGGAACCAGACTCTTCAATAACTCAAAGGCCTTCGCATCAGCCTCAGCGTCTCCAAATGCCGGCATAACCAGCCCTCCGTTAACGAAATAAAAGTTAACATACGAAGCCGCCGGCGCCTCCTCCTCCCCATCAACATCACCCTTGACGCAGCTCGGATCCGGCTCAACAACATCATGAATCTCGAAGCGCCTTCCACGCGCATCAGTAGACTTCTCCAAGACACCCCGAATCTCCCAGTAGATCTCCCAATGCACCTTATCCGCCTTTTCATGCGGGCGACAGACAACAACAACACCAGGCCTGACAAACCTTGCCTCAGCATCAACATGCACATCCGTAACGTCATACCCAACCCGTCCAGGAAACCAGATGAACGTACTAACACCCAGCAACCGGCCAAGCTCAGCCTCAATCTCCGCCTTCCCGACTCCAGGATTCCTCGCATCCCCAACAATACTACTCTCTGTCGCCATAAACGTCCCCTCGCCGTCAACTTCAATTCCCCCACCTTCAAGCCTGATATCCGTCTGCACGCGCATGACGACATCCATCACAGTATCTGCATTCGCATTCTCGAGATCTAGCACAGTACGCGCGAAATCCGTGTTCTCGTGCATGGCTTCATCGTCCATTACCGGCCACTCCGCGTACTGCGGGGACGTTTCTAGGGCCTCTAGTGCAGACGAGACGCGGGGGCCGTAGATTCGTCCTGTTGTTTTGTGGCCCCATTCGCAGAAGCGGAAGTCAATTGCATAGCGGGATTTATCTGCCGTGTCGGTGCTGCGGATGTAGACGGGTCCTGTGTCGCGGATCCAGCAGTGGTTTGTTGGGGCTGGAATTAGGGTTATGTTGACGCGGTGATGGGGTGGGAGAAGGGTAGCTTGTTTGTCGAGGAGGGCTTGGGCTTGCGGGATGTCTTCTGGTCGGGCGTGGAGGCGGACGGGCTCGAAGGCTGCGATTGTTGCTGCGAGGGATATTACCTCGTTCCTTGTTTGGGCGTGCAGTTCTGGTAGGGTGGAGCATCGTGAGGGGAAGCTCAATAGGGTTGCTCGGTGGGGGCGTGTTTCTGATGGGCAGATGTATTGCTTTGTTTTGTCTGGTGGTTGGTGCGCGAGGGCGTGATGCTGGATGTGCCAGGTTTTGTTGGTTGGGGGCATGGTTGTTGTTGTAGGGTGGGTTGGTTGGAATAGGGGATTGGAGTGGTAGCTACAGATGCCTGGTATGTGAGCTCGGGCTATTGATATCTGTATTGCCGTGTTAGATCACATGTTGTGTGGTACAGGATGTGATGGAATTGATAGAATGATATACTAACAGTGATAGCTGCAAGTCTTGGGTTTTGTATGGATTGAAGAAGTGGCATAGAAGATTGCCCCAGGGCAGGCTGGGGGGTTATTTATGTTGAAGGTAAGATCCCAATCTGGTCACTATGAGGAGACAACATTGGAAATGTCAAAGATGAGCCTAAACAGGTTGCAACCATGGAATCTGCCGTTTTGGGATAGTCCAGGCGATAAGCTTAACATCATAGTGGAGCTTCTTATATGGATCTAACCCTTTTTGAACTTCATTTCTATTGGGAATCATCAAATGCTCCTGGATCTAGGTAAGGCTAACACTGTATAAATTCATTGATTATCTTTTCCATAAAAGCATAGAATGAAATGCCTCAACTCTCAAGCCACATACTAAGAGCATCCACTGAGGGACTTTGTGTTGGGGTCCTTAGGCCACCCCGTAGTCAGTCAGATCTCCAGGTCCCTTCTCTTCTTTCCCTCCCCTGGTCCACTTAGTTCAATAGTATATGCAGAAATCTTTTCTCTGCACAGAGATGTTTCATTGCGTAGCAGTAGCACTATGTACTTGGTCTGCCTGTATTCCCGGCCTTGACAAATCGAGAAATACAAACGGCAATAATCAATGACTACTTAGGCTTATCTGTTCATGTTGCAGCTAGAATTGAGGATTAAATACAAACTACGCCAAATATTCCAGGTATACAAGTATATCACAGATAAGTGTGCCTCATAGAAGCTGTGTATAGTTCCGAGGTAGCCTACCTCCATGATGTATGATGTAGAGGAATAGGCAGAACTGATACTTGCTCTCGAAAAAAAAATAAAAAATAGTGCTGCCTAACTGCGTAACCCTCATTCAACTCATTAAAGCTCTTTCCTCCTCATTTTCTCCTAACCACAACATCGGAATTGCAGTGAGCGCTACCAAGACTCCCAAAGTGCCCGTCATCGCGCCCCACCCAAAACGATACTCGACAAACCCACCCCAAAGCGGTCCAAAGAACACACCTGCAAATTGGCACATGCTCTGCAATCCGAATCCCTGCGCCACGGCGCCCTTGGGTCCAAGTATTCCTGGATTCTTGAGTTCCATCGCCGTGAGCGCGCGTTGCGTCTCAACATACATGGCTGGCGCGCAGGCGTGGATGAAAATCCCTGTAAGGAAGAGCAATGATACTAATAAACCGATCTGCTCGTTCGACTTCGTGTGAACGAACCGGAGACAAATGAGGGTGGGCGAGAGCGAAACGAAACAGCCGAAGGCGACGAAGCGGGCACCGAACCTGTCGGTGAAGCTGCCGAACAGCGGCTCAAAGAAGGCCGGGACAGCCATTGGAAGAAATATTAGTCCCATACCGAGGGCGTTCCAACCGAACGTCGTTTCGACGAAGATGGGGAGGGTCTTGAGATGATTAGCCAATTCTTCATCTTAAAGGCATTGAACCTGGTACATACCGCATCAAAAGCAGAAAGTAAGATTCCCTGGGCAAGAAGCGCCCACGAAGAAATCAACACTCGGCGCTGCTTGAGCATCCGGAAGACAACGAACCCCTTCCTTCTTTGGATGACCTGTGGCTCGTGCGAACCGACAGAGGTAATGCGTTGCGCCGTCTCCAGATCCGACTCCAAGTCTCCGTTTGATTCTCCGGTCCATTGAGCAGCGACCTTCTTCTCGATCAAAAACAGCCGCATAACCATATCAAGTGCAATAACAGGATACGCAAACCAGAACACAGCATTGTACCCGCCAGAATTATACACAACGCCTCCGAGGAACGGACCCAACAAGAAGCCCGAGGCAATTGCGGCGCCAAGATACCCTATCGTTTGACCAAGACGATCCTGAGACACGGCATCGCCGATGAGAGCGAATGACGATACCACTACTAAAGCGGCTGCGATACCTTGGAGTACACGAGCCGCGACAAACGCAGCGATGGAATGTGCCAGCTGCAAGACCATCATGCAACCAGTTAATATGACTAGGGCACCGATGAAGGGCAGTCGACGTGTGCGTCCACGGTCGACCAGGTAGCCGAATATGGGACACATCAACAGAGCTGTGCCTGCTTCGCACATGAGAAGAACGCTGACCCAGTATTCTCCTGTTTAAATGTGAGTATGTGATAATCTGTGAGGAAAAGCTGTTAGTGAAGGAAGAAGCAGGACGTACGGTGGTCAAACTCGACTCCGGCTCGGGTCATGAGGGCTGTTGGCATCACAGGGACTATCTGTCATTCGTTGATTATGGGTCCAATTGATAGTATGGAAGTGGGGTTTTGCTTACCATGGCATATAGGAGGAATTCCTTATTCCAATTGGGTCTCGGTCAGTTGCGGTTATAATACTAGGCAACTAGGCTCTCACATACCGTGAAGGTGGACATCCAGACTGCACTGATGATAAAACTTGTCGAGGAACGAAACTTCAACAGCCAGGGGATACGCTTCCCCCCTGCCTCCCTCTTGAGGCTTGATAGCGCACCTATACTCATGATTATCTGGAGGGGGGGGAGGAAACGAGTACGTGTCTCCTCGCTAATTGGAATCACTAATATGGGTTTCGGATAACCCAAAAGCAGTCAAAAGGTGAGAGTTGAGCAAAGCCAGAAATTAGTCGATAAATACCATACATAATAGGAAGGTCAACACTCTTTGTTGAACAAAGAAGAGCCAAAGAAATCCGTCAGCCCAGCCTCGACCGAGAACCGGATGGCTCTCACCCGCTTCTTACTCATAGACACTGCATCCAATCGCTGGATATTACATTGATTCATAGGGCTTGGACATGTACACTGCATGCAAGATTGGTCAGATCGACGTTGCAGGCATACTGCTATCAACCAACCACACTCTCCGATTCGAGGATTACAATCTGAACTAACGACTGACGTTTGTTTCTATGCACTCCATGGATTATTTATTCCAAAAAAAAGAATTCAATCTGCTATCTGGATCTGACATACATCTTACATACTGTTTCGTTCTGAGGCATGCATCTCGGGGCTGTTCCCACTGCAACTTGAACGAGTATTTGGGGCCCGGTATAAAGGCTGGGGCATTTTCAAATATCTTGGTTATTCCCTGCCCAAATATGAAACTTTGCGATGATTCCTCCGAGCAGCTTGGTCGGCAGCGTGGCTGAGCACATGATCGGTCTCGGGTAATATTGTCACTCCTATAGAGGCAAATCAGCTCTACCATAGCAATCGTTGTTGACCGCTAGATTGGTGTGTTTGAAGTTTGCACATGCTGTGACAGGATGCGTAGGCCACGCGTTTTCCCTTTACGGTAGGTACTATGTATCCTGTGCTCTGTAAGTATTGAGGGTCTTTCACTACCGAGTTTCGGCGAAGACGTCAGCATTGATTCCGGGCGTTGTTAAACTAAAATAAGCACCCTGATGGAGTTTGTCTTCCTTGCAAGTTGTTTGGGGAGATATACTGCATCTCATAGGCCTTATAGATACCCACCTGATTTGCACGAGCAACTTGGTATGCGCCGCCAAGGAGGATATACGTCGATACAATCTATCGTGAACGATCGAAGTAGGACATCCTGAGCCCCGAACCAGCCTCGGTGTAGAAAGTACAAAAATGAACCAGAAAGAACAAGAAAGCCATAATATCTCGTCATCAAGGCGAGTCAACGTACAGACCGTGACGTTTTCCTCCCCGCACTGTACCACCAGCCGTCAGATCACTGCGCATGCCTATTATGGCAATTGTCAGCAGAGAATTGGTCAGGTCAGCGCTGAGTGTCTATCACTTGGACTTCCACGTCTTTCACGGCTCGCAGCTCGCCGCGAGTCCAGTAGTGGAGGTCTCCGGGCTGATTTATGCCCGGGATCTCCCCGGCACAGCGATTCCACGAGTCATCGTAGTACAAATCGTAAGGGATTTGAAATATAATAATCTAGGGGTCTGCAATTGATTGCAAGCACGGATGTCGGAATTTCGGGATTGGAATATAAGATGATCTCCACTGTATTGCACTCGGCTCTTGGCCCGAAAGTCTGGGGAACAAGGAATTATGTTCCCCTTTCTCTGTATGATTGGTGATGTGAGGTTGGAAATGCTAACACTATGGAAGTATCATGCCATACGTACATAGAGAGAGAAAAAAATCAGTCTAATCGCCAACTGATAAGATCGGGATTTGGGGGGAGACCGGCCACTCGCGGCCATCGGAGGTGCCCGATGCTCTCTTGATCAGCCAATTTGGCATATTCCAGATAGAATAAATACTGGTTTGGTCTGCTGTATAATTCAATAATCTACCTCTCAAAATTCTCATCTATCCCCCCTTTCTCTTCTATTTCACTGATTCAAGATGAGCGCATTGGCAGCCGCCCGCTACGGCAAGGACAATGTCCGCGTGTGCAAGGTGGACCGCGATGAGAAGACCGGTATCCAGACTGTCGTGGAGATGACCGTCTGTGTTCTCCTAGAGGGCGACATTGAAACCTCGTTAGTCTAGCGATATCCCTTATCTCTCCCCAAAAGAAAATGGAAGCTAACCCAAAGGTCCCCACAGTTACACCAAAGCTGACAACAGCGTCGTTGTCGCAACCGACTCGATCAAGAACACCATTTTCATCACAGCCAAGCAGAACCCTGTAAACCCACCGGAACTGTTTGGCGCAATCCTGGGCACACACTTTATTGAGAAGTACAGCCACATCCACGCAGCGCACGTAAATATCGTGACCCACCGCTGGGTGCGCATGGATATCGACGGCAAGCCGCACCCGCACTCGTTCATCAAGCCGGGCTCGGAGACGCGCGACGTACAAGTCGACGTTATTGAGGGCAAGGGCATCGAAATCAATTCTGCTATCAACGGCCTGACCGTGCTGAAGAGCACTGGTTCCCAGTTCTGGGGCTTCGTCCGCGACGAGTACACCACCCTTAAGGAGACCTGGGACCGTCTCCTCAGCACCGATGTCGCCGCAAACTGGCAGTGGCGCCGCTTCACTGGCCTAACTGAGGTCAAGGAGCACTCGGAGAAGTTCAATTCTACTTGGGATGCGGCCCGCGCTATTACCCTCAAGACCTTTGCTGAGGATAATAGTGCCTCTGTCCAGGCGACGATGTACAAGATGGGAGACCAGATTCTTGCTGCTGCGCCTTTGCTGGATACCGTTGGGTATGCGTTGCCCAATAATCACTTCTTCGAAGTTGGTACGTTTGACCTTTTCCTCCTGCGAATGTTGGACGTCGGCTAATATCTGTGCTTATAGATCTCAGCTGGCACAAGGGCATCAAGAACACCGGCAAGGATGCCGAGGTTTATGCCCCCCAATCAAACCCCAATGGCCTTATCAAGTGCACCGTTGGCCGTGCTGGCCAAAAGGCTAAGCTGTAAATGTTTTCTAGAGGATTGTCGGCGAGCTCCGATATGGGTGCTAGCTTGTTCCCCCCCCTTTTCTTGTACATATATCCATTTCCTATACCTCTGGGATCAGACTCCCTATATCTCGAATCAAATCCGACACTTTTCCTCCCATGATGCAATATCATAGACAAGTTAGAAAATCATTGTATAGTACGTGGTATTGTGATAGTATGTGCTATAAGTACATTTCGAAAGAACCGCAGGCTCGAAAGTTGAAAAGTCCGAGGCCAAGTCAACGGAGTAGATAATCAAAAGCAATATCCCAAATGGACTCCACACCCATGCGCTTTTGCGGTTGGATCATAACATCGCAGGAGAATAGAATACAGGCAGACACAGACCCGGTTTAGGTCAGTGTTGTAAAATGACGAAAGAAGGAAATGTAAAAAAAGGTTGCTTTATGCGCTTGGCTTATCGGCGGCTGCTTTGAATGCTTCCTGCACTTCGGGCAGATTTCCGATCATCGATTGGTTGCCGAACTTGACGATATTCTCCTTGTAGGGGTGGGCGACACCCTCAAAAGCTGCGCGATATTGGGTTAGAATGGGGTCAAAGATGGAAGAAAGTAGATGGGCTGGATTGATGGGGTCCTTGTTGTTCCTTGAAAATGGACCCATGTATATCTCCATCAAGTAACCCATCCAGGATATCAGGAGCAGCAATCGCGTAGCACTTACTCTTCAATCGAGCGAGGCGGATATCCCTCAGTCGGTTCTTGGGAAGCATGCCCCTGACAGCGCGGCGCAAGACTTCACCACCACCCCATTTGGCGAACATCTGATCCATCGTCATGCTCTTCAAGCTACCGGGTCGCGTCGTGTGCGTGTAGTACTTCTTCTGGAATCGCTTCTTTCCTGTTGTCTTGAGGTCATGACATCCCACAACCACCACGTAGTCACCACAATCTGTTGAGGGGTCGTAGATGGGCTTGTTCTTGCCCATCAAGACAAGGGCGATCGACGAGGCGAGGCGACCGAGGGATCGTTCATCAGTGCCGGCGTCGACATGGTGCCATGTGCGAGAGTAGGCGAGACGGGTCTGATGGCCTCAAGGGTTAGAATCGGGGTGCTTTCTTGAATGCAGGGTTCACGCGGTTGGCCCGGAAGGCTCCGCATTGAAGCTATTTACCTTGCCAATGAGTTGCGACATCTTGTTGATGCGGCGGAGGGTAGTATAGGTGCCGGAGTGAAGGTCAATTAAACAATTAATGAAAGGTGGGGAAGTCCAATTGAAGATCCAAGCAACAAAAACAGACCCAGCGCCTAAGAGTCCGAGTTAATGATGATCTCAGCGTTCCCTGTATTGCTTGTAGCCTCTAACCCGCCCCAACTGAAGTTCTCCGGGTCATGTGACCAAGCCCTAAGTCTCGTGCAACGCTAGTCCCAAAGTAGAATTAGCGTCGCACACTAAGCGAAACCCGCACGGAAGGGCAAATCACTGTGTATGGGAATTCAAGTGACTCTTTTTCCATCTCCCTCGACAACACACTCCCTCCCCCACGACAATCCACCATGGCTTCCGTCCCGAGTGTGCAATGCTTCGGCAAGAAGAAGACGGGTAAGCTCCCTTTTTTTCCGATCGAAGATCAGTGTGAATGAACCCGTGCACTGACATATTCAATTTTTGATAGCCACCGCTGTCGCCCACTGCAAGGTATGATGACGCCTCTACTCCTATCGCTCCCAATACGTTGTTTCGAAATATCTGGAAAGAAAAACAGTCGGAAAAGGAATTGTGCACGAATTGAAGAACTGGGATTGGATTTTTGGAAGGATATACGAAACAACCTGTTGCGCGATTATGGGTTATATACACATTGAACTGGACAAGATGCTGAGACTCTTTACAGCAAGGCAAGGGCCTCGTCAAGGTTAACGGCCAGCCCCTCTCCCTGGTCCAGCCCGAGATCCTCCGTTTCAAGGTACGCACAATACATTCGCTCAACCAACTCCCGCGCGCCACACAAAAAGGGATTCACACGAATCGCAAACGACAATGGCAATGGGAAAACGTCTCCGAAATCGGTTTCTGACAATTCATGCTCGAATTTTTAGGTCTACGAGCCCCTCCTCATCGTCGGCGTTGACAAGTTCGCCGGTGTCGACATCCGTGTCCGCGTTACCGGTGGTGGTCACACCTCGCAGGTCTACGCCATCCGTCAGGCCATCGCCAAGTCCATTGTCGCCTACTACCAGAAGTACGTTGATGAGCACTCCAAGAACCAGCTGAAGCAGGCTCTTGCTCAGTACGACCGCACACTCCTGGTTGCCGACAACCGTCGTGCCGAGCCCAAGAAGTTCGGTGGTCGCGGTGCCCGCTCCCGTTACCAGAAGTCCTACCGTTAAATTTTTCTTCCTCACTTGTTACGCGGCGAAAGGGAAAAGAAAAGTTTACGGCAACGGGGAAATGGAATATGTCTGTCTTCATATGTTTTTTCTATCACGACTTATTTCCATGACTTCTTGGTGGACTGGGGACTTGGGAGGATTCGGGGATGTTTGAGCGGTTTTTGTTCGGTTTAACCGCTCTTGCATGAGATCAGAGGACCGGGCTAGAGGAATTTGGGAAAATGACCTCTGGTTGTTATTCCGGTGCCTTGTTGATATGTTTTTCACTGGCGCTGTCCTGCACGGCTGGAAAAAAATACCTAGCATAGCCAGGAAAATCTACTCAATGATACTGGGTTTTATCTTGTTCAAATCTTTGTTTTTGGGGTCTTTTGGGTTATTTTAGCTATGGTGTTCTAACATTGGTCTCACTTTTTCCCAGAGTTATGTTCTCCATACGCCAAACTTGAACAGGTATATGCTAAAGGTAAACCACTGAGGTATTCGCGCCTCACTCTACCATACTTGACCACGTCTATGATTCATGGATCTGCGTACTTGTAGCATGTTTACCCCGAACATTGGCTATATAGATCGATATGTTGTGTATACATATTCATCATATGTATATATCTACCACTCGGGTTTACCGCCAAGGATCAATCCGATTGGACAATTTTCAATTTCTTGTCATTCCCAGATGGTGTCCCGAGGTCGGCCACATGAACCTTTGCATACAAGAGAAAAACAATTTTGGCACTTGCAGCATGCGCTATAGCTCTCTTTCGACCTTCCAGCAACAGCTCTTCTATAACATTTCCAATAGGTCTTCGGCAGAGGTCTTGTCTCAATATAACAGCCCGGAATTATCTAGGTAGTCATCAGTCAGATATGGCCTTGTAATATCATTGATAACCTCGGGTAGTTAGGGTACCATTTCATCTGAAGTGCATAAGATCCCAGTCATGGCCAAAGAAGGCAACTGTAATATTCTCTCAGAAAACCCTCTTTAGCCATGAAACTCAATTCCCCTTGGAACAAATATTCTTTGCTCCCCACGTGAGGGGTAGCTTCAAAAGGGAGATACGAGGTCAGTGTAAGCTCACCTGTGAGCTGAGAGGGTGGACTGTAAATGTGTTCCTAGTACTTAGAAGGGCCGTGAAACACAACCGTTAGCAAAGTATAAACAGACCCCGCAAAATCACCTGTCTGATCAACCCTCTGTGGCTGAGACCCTGTATCAACTCCTCTCAGACAAAATTTCTTTTCTCATTATGACCATGTCGATGCATAGGTCTTGAACAATTCGACAGTCATCATGTATGAGTTTTGAGGTTCACCCACTTGATAAGGATTCATTCACTCGATGTGAGTTCATCTAAAAGCTCATAAGTATCCAAAAAAAAAAAATGCAGGGAATTGAAAACTCATTATTTATCCCAACAACCACTGGAGGTGCGTTCTCACCTTGGGTGTCATCAAGCTCCACGGCAGCCAAAATATAGGCCAATTGGAGACGTATCCCTCGAGAGATCAATCCTGTGTAGTGGAAACCTTCTGTAGCTCGTATCAGACGTTTTTTTTATTTCATTGGAGCCCATGCCAATACATAGCCATCCTTGAACTTGGAATGAGGAGTCATCACTTAGGAGCTTTGAAGGTTTATCCACTTCGGCAGGTCATCTCAAAATTCACAATCAAAATTCATAAAAATGGAGGATAGGAAAACTTACCTTTCGGTACTTGTCTCAGCTACCACTGAAGCATAGGAGTGATCTCATACAAGTATGAGTTTGGGAGGACTTCTCTAAAACGTCAGGGTTAATGATCAGGGGAATAGAAAGCTTGCCTTTCTCCTTTTGTCTCAGCAATTCCTGAATCATACATTTGTTTTGATCTGAAATGTGGTACTAAATCACAAGGAAGATCGTAGACGTACCTTGATCAAACCTCTGTATTCGTGAGCCTCAACTTCCTCGCATGAGGTATCAGGTAAGCTTTCTCTGTTCATTGTCTTGCCGAAGAAGATTATTGAATAGAAAAGGCATAGAAAATCACCATTCGTGAGCTTTTAGGTCTGTCCATCAATGCACCTATGGTGGCTGCATGACCATGTCGAGTCACCCCCACAAAGAATGAGAAGCGAGAAGTGCGAAACCTATCTAAATAATTGGGAAAATCAGCGACAAAGGTCCAATTCAACGTGGGCTCGGGAGTCAATTGGGAAAACGAGTTCTCTTCTTTGGCTTTGTATCAACCCGAATTTGAATTTCAGGACCGGGCAACCGGCAAATGAGAGGCCAGAGTGTTGCAGTGCCTCTCGATTGGGACAATTGGCCTCGCATCAGACTGTTCTTCACATTTATTATCCTCAAAGTCTGCAGTGAACGTGCAGACTGGGGTTTTTATTTTTGTAGTAAAGGAATGTCATCATGTTTGCGGGCTTCAATTGTTCTTAGATGATGCAGGGCTATGTCAAGTCTTACCTAAATGAGGTCGACAATCTAAAGCGATAAATTAGAAAATTAGCGAAATCTCAATAGCAACGTGAGTGTTTGAGTAGGGTAATTGGCCTCGTATCAGATGTTCTTTCCATATGTTGCCCTCGATGTTCACAGTGTAGACTAGGGTAGCTCGTAGGGTGTAGTGAAAGGGTTTCATCATTTTTGCGGGCTTCAATTGTTCATGGATGAATGGTTGGGCCAAGTCATACCTGAATAAGAAACTCGGAATCTAAAGCGATACATTAGAAAATTAGCAGAGAACCCCCAATAATAAGTAGTGCGATAGTTCGGTTAGGGTAATTGGTCTCGCGTCAGAATTCTTTTCAGATATTGCCCTCAATGTCCACAGTGTAGACTAGGGTAGCTCGTAGGGTGTAGTAAAAGGGTTTCATCATTTTTGCGGGCTTCAATTGTTCATGGATAAAGGGTTAGGCCAAGTCGTACCTGAATAAGAAAATCCCACACCAAACCGATACATTGGAATGAGCAAGCGAGAAGCTCCAATATCAGCGTGAAGGGAATTGTGTCATGCATTGAGAATATTAGTATTTTCATCTTTGATCTCATATTAGCACAGGGAGTTGGGATCGAGAAAGTTAAACAGAGCTGCTCGGAGTTTTGTCCTACTCGTCGTTTCGATTTGTTGCGTCTCAGATAGAGTTGTGTAGCCCCTCAGGCCATTTCAAGCCGTGGGATGTTCACGGTCTCATTTCCGAGTTCTCAAACCTCTGAGATATTAGTTTGTAGAGCTCCGAAGTATCTATATCAGGCCATACGTGTGCATAGCAACAAATAATAGAGACGAAATCTTCTGACCTGGAAGTGTGAACTAAAAGACCCAATGTGGAGTTGCACCCTAACAACGGATCAGTCATAAATTCGATTACCAGGGCTTGTTTCTTCAAATCGTACCGGTGTTCAATCCCATCTTCAATTGTGTCCATTGACCTTTTGAAGAATTAGGTTCGCCTTCAACTTGTAGTCATCGTCATCTGATACCGAATCATGTCTGAGTGGATATAGAATAATCTAGATATCTCGAGTGTTAGCAAGAACGATACCAAGGTAGCAAGTAGATGGGCTACATGATCAATCCAGGAAATCGGCTATTTCTTTTCGCCTTGTATCAGATCTCTTGATCCTATCACTGAGACCATTGGATCCAGTGACCCACGGTTTCTCTAAATGTAGTACATTTTGGTCATCATAGAACGTGCTTGTGGGGTTGGAAGGATCATACTTAAGCGTACAGTATGGAGACCGGTAGTATCTCAAGACTGTTAGTGGAAGCTTCCAATATCACAATAGAGTGCCATAGATTAATCGAGGAAAGAAGATACCCTTTGTTTCGAATCGCATCAGAGCTTTTCTTTTTGTTTTCTCAATGCGTACAGTGACACAATTGATTCGACAGGCCACAGTCCCTTTCAAAATGTGTGTTCTCATCATAACATGCGATTTCTGGTTCCCCCAATATCCATTATACTTATGCGACGGGGTTCATATCGAGTCAGGCTAAAGGGCGAACATATGATGCATACCTAGGTATTTTGAGAGCGTTAGCAAAAATATTAGAACACTGTTTCAAGGTACGAATAGTTGGATCAAACCAAACAATTTTTTGTCTTGACTCGACCAACTTGATCTTTTCGATTCCATCCCAAGTTTGCCGTAAGCCCACCAGCCTCTGTAGCTCCAGTAGCCGTAATTTGCGAGTTTCAAATCCTAAATACCAATTGGAATTGCGGGCTTCCAATATGTTGGCATCTTCATGTGTGTGCATGTCGATGGGATGCATACTATATACATTTCCTAGGTGTTAGCGGCATCGCCAATATACAGTATAAGTAACAATTACCGTATCACCGATCGGGGAAACCAGTGTTTTGGCCCACATTGAATCAACAGCTAAGCTCTCAGCGCTGAGATGGAGCCATTGCTTGTATCAATTCGGGGGATTTAACTCGAGGCTCGAGTCACACTCAACCGTAGCGGCATGGTATCCTATATAGATCGGCAGAAGTATTAACCAAGCTGTTCAAATATCTCATGGAAATGCTGTGATGGATAGGGTTGTTCTGTTTCCTTTTGCATTAGATCAATGGATGTTTCGGCATATGCGACTGCGGCTTTACTGGAAATCTGGTGACGGTATTGAGGAGTTCCCTGCATCGAAGTAGGATTAGTCGAAGTGATTTATCAAGGCAAGTTGCAATCGCATGTTGCAAGGTAGAAGACTCACCAAAAAAACTTCCTGGGGGTAAATGAACAGCGACGCATAAACGAGATGCGACACGAGACAAAAAGGAGGTTAGGACGAGACACACTTGATAATAAACAGATCACAAAGTATAAACGAGATGGGACATGATAATTCATGCATAAAGGAAAGGGGGTGAGGCGAGACATGCTTGATGATAGACAGATCATGAAGTATAAACGAGACGTGATATATAGAAACGAGACGAAGTAGAAACGAGACGGATTACATAGAAACGAGACGGAGTAGAAACG